TTGTCAACAGTGTGGCGATAGCTACGTAGAGAGGAGAGTGGCATTTAAAGTAAACAATAAAGTTATTGCAATTGAAAATGAATAAAACATTTAAATATGAAAGATTAATCATTTATCAAGTATATCTCGCCAAATTTACAGTCCAGTAATAAGTCCGTGCATCTCACATGAATATGCAAATGGAACTCAAGGATGGATATTGAACAGATTAAGGGTGGTTGAAACAAAATTTTTCAGAGATCTCAAAGGTAGGGGACTAATTGCACAAAATTTTCCAAATGGAAAAGTAAGATTGTGATAAGGAGGATTCGAAACCTTGTCTCCTAGATAAAAAGAAAAATCTCTTCCAATAAACTACCAACAATTGTGTTTTCTTAACAACATTAATAAAGAAACGTTAGTTAGTCTTATAGCTACCACGTTTGCTAGAAAACCTACAACGGAAATAACCAAATCTCATGTTATTCTCCCATTTTTGCACTGTAAAAACCCAATAAATTAGAATAGAAAGAACACTGACAATATGATAGGAAAAAAAAAAAAGAAAAAAAAAATTCAACTATAGAACTTGAACGGGAAGAGCCCAAAACAAATTTTGGTGTCAACAGAGTCTATGGTACTAAACCTGCACCAATGTATGGATCATGAATGAGAAGACACGATAAATTATGAAAATTAGTAAAAAAAGGTTGAATCCCAACCTTGAGGGTCTCCATTGCTCTGTCCCTAGAGTATCGTGAGGGAAGTAAATCTCAGGATATGTCCTAGCAAACCAGGAAACAAGAGCTTGCCCGTACACTAGTGCTCATAAAGAGTTCAATTCCATATTTCAGAAATCGAACCCTCACACTGCGGCTAAGACTTTCTCACTCATGTCCTTTGTACTACTGAGATATGCCCGAGGGGCAAATTAGTAAAATCCTATATAGAGTGGATAATGGTTAAAAAAAGAATCAGACAAGTAAATCTGTAGTGAAAGGCAATAACAGACAAACTAAGTGACCCTCCCCTCTCTATATGGCTATTTCTTAACCTATCTATAAAAAATGTAGGGCCAATTTCACCTGATCTACTTTTCCTATTTGAATTTAAAAAAAAAAAAATTCAGCTTCGCTTCAGAGCTCGGGATTAAATTCCGAGTTTGGCTCCAGGTCGAGGTGTGTGATCTTGCATCACATGGGGCCTGTCGAATTCAAATCAGGGGCTGATGTCGTGCCACCTCAACCCTTGGAGCCAATCCCCCAATCTAATCCCGGGAGTTCCAGCATTTTTCAGATTTATTACAATTCACAATTCAATAGTTAATTAAAAATAATTTTTATCAATTAGGTGTCAAGTTCTGTCACATATTTTGCAATTATGAGAGGAGGTTAGAAAATCAAATCAAATCTTTTTGCAATGAGAATCCAATGAGTTCTCTAATGATCTAACCACTCTTAACTATTAAGTTGACCTCTTTACGCAAAAATCAGACTGTTTGAAACATATTCGATTCAGGAAACAAAGTACAGAAATTGGACAAATATTTTCCCAAGGAAGAAATACAAAAGAAAGAACAAAATAAGATAAGCTACTAAAATCCAAATGGACCCCACCTCTCCCATTGATTAATTTTTTTCTTTTTCACTATAATATTTATACATTATTTTCCATTTTCTGTATACGGAACAAGAATAAAATATATTATATTAAAATCTGGCGTTTTCAAAGCCATGTAAATCGCTGACTCTATTCAAAGACTTCCTCATCATGGCTACTTTAGCCAGTCTCTCAGCCGCCCTCCAAGCCGATGTTGGCGTAAGCGGCTCGACTTTGTCCTCCACGCAAGCGGCCTGCCTTTCATTCGTATTCCTCCTCCCATTTTGCACCTGCTGTAGCAGATTCTGCCTCTTCCAATTCAAATCCGCCAGCTCAGCTTCCAACCCGCGTACAAACTCCTCGCCGGAACCCGAACCTGATTGCAGCATCAAAGCCCTAGCTGAAGCCAACATATGGTGCGCGCTGGTTAAGTCATTTTTCTCTACAAGTCTCCGGCTTTCAGCCACGGCGCGTGTGGTAACAAAGAGGCATCTCAACCGTTGGATTTCGCGAGTGGAGGATCCGACGGCGCGTGGGCGGGGAATCACGAATGCTTGTTCTTTGTCGTATATGGGCTCTTGAGTTGACGGGTCTTTGTAGTAGCATCGAACGGACAGTAGGCGGTGGGCCCTACTATATGATGATGGGACTTTCAATTCTATCAATAATTCTCTATCTTCTTTAGAATATAAATCGCCGATCCGGGTTTCGCAAGACCCGGACCCGAGATAAGATGGTCGCCCTGAATATGAGTAAATCGCCGATATGTTCGCCGGAGCTGAACCAGAGATGAAACCCAACTGCATTTTAAGATCTTGAATGACCACGCTTAATAAACTCCCAATGCATTTGGCAATGGTATCACCCGGTGGCTCATTCAAACACGCGCTCAGGCTGACCGAATGAACCGGAATTTCAGTGTGCGAGAAGCGCGTTGATGACACTAATGGACCACTACTATGACCGTCGGAGAAAAGCACGATGCTGGCTGATGGGTTTTTCTCTCGGCGGTCTTCGATAACTTTGGCCGCTTTTTTTAATGCATCCATTGGAATCGCGGCTGCTCCATCAAGTGCAACGACGGCGTCGATAATCCTTCTGGCCAACCTTCTGCCGGCGGTGGTCATTCTACGAAGCGGCAGCAACCGCTTCGAGGTAGTAGAAAATGCCACAATCGACAACCTGTCCGCCGGGGAGAGAGATGAGACCACCAATCTCATAGTTCTTTTCATCATAAGCAGCTTTTCCGTGGACACACTTCTGCTGACATCAAGGACCGTCACCAAATCAATCGGAGCTCTCTTCACATTCTTTGTAGGGGCCGACGGAGCTTTGATCTTCAAAACCACGGCGTAGGTCTCGCTGCTCCTACCCACCGACACCACCGCGGCCTCCGGCAACAACGCTACCTCAACATTCTTCAGCTTCAGTTCCGGACTGGTAGCATTATTAACATTTCCATTCACAAAAAATCCCGGAAATTCCTCATTTTCCTCCTCCGTTTCATCGGATTCGGGTATTGGATTGAATCTGGCTCCAGAAGTGGGCGACGCTAGTGGCTCATCATCATTGTAAACTTTGAATAAGCCTCTTTTATCGTTCTTGGAGTTTGCATCTCTAGTGATTTCTCTGTTGTGGTCATGTTGTTTATCAGTTTGGGGAGTGGATAAAAGATGCAGCTCCTTCCATTTGGAGTTGCAAATAGGGCACGTGAGCAAGGCTTGCTTCTTGACATGCACCGCGATGCACGGGAAGTGAAAGCTATGGGAGCATTCCGCTGTAAAAATGGCCGTGCCTTGTCCTGTCTTGACTTTCTGTAAGCATATTCCACACCTAGTCTGCAGACGAAGTAAAACAAAGAAAAGGACCAATATATTGTTAGTAAATGATGAAAAAATTGAAAAAATTCAAAGCTAATAACTGAATTCAACTGTTTGAAATTACCTTTGAGATACTGAGGGTGGATTTGAGTAGAGATATGGTGGATGGGGATCGAGGGGAAGATGGTGTGGAGCGATGGAAGAATCTGGGGCTGTTTTTGGCTTTACATTGAAGTTTTGGGCTTTGTGGAGCTGAG